TTTAACGATACCTTGTTGAAGACTTTTCCTGGTATTGAGAGAAAAGTGATGCACCTGATGTATCTGATTTCTGTGCCTCTGCTGGAATGTTGTCTGGTCCTGCTGCTTTACCACTCTTGATTTGTCTGATGGCCATACTGGTCTCTTCAATTGTCGGTGGGCAAACACCTATTAGGAGGTCTGTGGGTGCTACTTCAGTGTTCGATGAGTTCAGTGGAGCTGGTCGATTCACGAGTTCTTTGAAATGTTCTACCCACCTGTTTCGTTGTTCTTCAGTATAGGTGATAACGTTGTCTTCCTTGCTTTTCACTGGTCGTTCCAGCGAGCTTCTTCATTGTATCATACAAGTTTCTCATATTTCCTTCTATTTTAACACTTCAAAGTGTAAGGTAGTCCATCAATGACATGTTGCAGATTACAACTACAATTTAGTTAACGCCCCTGTAGAGGTATCCTAAGTTGAAAGAGATCTAGGAGTGCTGAAACCATACGATTTGAAGTCTTTATCTAACTGTGACAAAAATGCTTTTCGAGCAAACCTTGCACTGGTGAAATTGAAGCGCATTTTCGGCCAGTTTGAAGGAAGAACTATCCACATAATCTTCGACAGTTTCATTTGTCCTCATTTAGAGTACGGGTACATAGTATTTCTTCACTGTTATATCCCGATAAGAATAATGAATGGTAATTTTTGGGATCCATTTATGGACCAATACTATGAGTATATTTTTGTCGTATGATTGTTATGCAACTAAACTGTTTATATTCACGTCGTTCTTATTATAAGCTCTAATTTAACCCATAGACTGTTATTATACGACGTACCTAATGGCTTGCAGTATCCTTAACACCTCTGCACATTACCTTAAACATTTACTTAAGTTAAGCTCCAACACAAACCAAAAGGGGTAAAACCCAGAGACCGGAGACACGATACAGCAGAACGGACTGTAGACACAACTTCTACTCCTTAAGATTTGTCAAATGCTGGAATTCTCTGCCCGGTGAGCTATTCCAAGAGACTTCCCAAGAGTCATTTAAGAGGCAACTTGACCTATTTTTATGGGCAAAGGATAACATCTTATTATGGTTTAGCAATTTCTTTTTTTCTCTGTTATTGATATTATACCTGGGTCTCTTTCTGAAGGCAATGGTGATCCACTGCTGCTAGACACGTAAGCTTGTTAAGTGAAAGCTTTTTCTATTTCATTCAAAATATTTTGAACCATTTGAATATAACGAAAATTGGCTAATCTAAACTGACTAGCGGTTGCAGGAGAGGTTTATCATAGCGTTTCCACGCGTGTTCTGGTTCTGATGCGTGATTGAGCGCCTTTAGCTAAGTGAGTCGATTAAAACTGGTGCAGTCAGCGTCATATAATGAGAACGTACAAACCTATTGATTTTGGGGATTTATTGACCACTACAGGTCTCTTCTATGTCCCCGAAATATCTGAGGTTAGTTTTGCGAACATTAGTTCGACAGTTGAGTTAAAACTACTTCCATATGGTTGAAATAATCCTAGAATTCGAGTCGACTATCGAAAGGATTGAAGAATGACTTCGTAAGCCGTATCTTCGAAAGGGGTATAAAACATAAACCTGAGAACTAGTGACTAGTAAGCATAATCAACGTGGTTGTTGAGATTTTACAAAAGGTCATTTGGAAAGAGTCGTTTAAGTCTCTTGACGAAAACTGTACCACTGAGCCGGTATCCAACAGTGTAGATGTTAAGCGTTCTCGAGCGAGACTGAAGGCCCTGCGTTCGAACCCCACGAGTGGACTTGTGGATGCGTACTGCTGAAAAGCTTCACAATAGAGCGAAATGACCGTCTTGTGCTTCCAGGCTTTCGACGGCGGTCTAACAGCAATTGGGTTACAAAAAAGCACTATCCATTTGCCTTCTTATGTCCGAACAACTCATCAGTAGAGCTGTAGAGCTTCATGGCCACGATAAGAGTATTTGTTTTTGAGTTATTTTGCTTGGAATAGCTCAGATACATTCACAAACTCTCTTCTCCATTGCTTTAAATCGCAGTGTGCCTTCATACGTGGCCTGCTGCTTCATTATTCTGGATCAAGTTCTGCAATGCCAGCCCTCTCGACCATTGTTGTCATTAAATTATCCAAATCTTTCATTTTCACTTCGTATTTTTAATCTGGTATAGTATCTTGAGCTAACAAATGTCTTTACCAAGTTCTACATTACTTGAACTGAATGACTGTGGGAATAGTTTCACGACCGACCACATGATGTGGCGGCTTGTTGAGTGTACATCACAATTGCTGCCCCATCGTTGTCACCGCCCTTATTCTTATCTGTTAATGACATCGTGAAGAACTATATACAGCTAGTAAACAATCATTGACATGTAAGAAAATACTAGCTAATAACTCACAACTCGGTGTATTGAATGACTGACTAAATCCAGTGATCATCTCAAGAAGTTTAGTTACAAGTCTTGCTGTTCTGTATTAAAAAGACTATCTAGATATCCTGTTTTTGTTTAGATTTCCCAGACACTTGTTGTGAAACGGTCTTCATTCACTAGAGTCACTTGCGGATAGGCATTAAACAATCAACGGCTGTTCCGCAACTAAGCACTTGCGCTATTCTGTCTCGACGTTTCTTCACTCCTCAAGTAAAACTCATGTTTAATTTGTTCTCGTTCACTATGTAGAGGTAAATAAATGGCTTTGTAACCTTTCAATATTGGATGCTGACCATATTAATCCTAATGGACAAATTGAGTTGATAGCACTGAGTTATCCATCCGCACCACATAACGAGTAGAAAAGGCTGTACTCAACAACCCATGCAATCGCTAACCACATTATATCGGTCGACCCACGATATATTGATAGCCTATCAAATATATATTCGAACCTCCTCGCTTCTGTCGTTTGATTTCACTTGGTGGGCACGATTCATATTAGAAGGTGTTACTGGTTAAAGCGTTGTAAAACTCCAAATACCTGTGGCATCTTCATTGGTGAGCCGATATGATCTGGTATGATGATATCACAGGTATTCAGTGTTTGACAACGCTTCTACCAGTAACACCTTCTAATATATTTCGTTCCCGCCCAGAGAAATCAAAAGACAGAGTCGAGGAGATCGGAAGAGTATATTTGGCGATGACCAATATATCGGAATTCTCTGATCTAATCTGGCTAGCGATTGCGGTTGATGTTGAGCACGGCGTTACCACACGTGATCTGGTGCGGATGCCTGACCGAGCGCCTTCAGCTAGGTGAGTCCACTAAAACATATGGTCAGCATCCAATGTCGAAAACTTAGTGCTATTTATTTTGGGGATTTATTTACCGCTACAGATCACTCCCCCCCTAGTGGGGCAGTGACGACCCTAAGACGTGGCCAGCCAGAAGTTTAAACCCAACGAGTTTGTCGTTGGTAAACACTCTTCTGATAGCTTACTAAATTTAGCAGCGTCTGGTCGTCTTTCCTTACTATATGGGACGGAGGTACAACATAGTAAAAAAAGAAAATGTACAATGAAAATTTCGGATCCTCATAAACGTCATCGTTCTTTTCCAGCCGTCCTGGAAAAGAAAAAAGAAAATGTAAGTGCATGTCGAAATACACTCGTATGTGCGTAAAAGCACAATGGCGGCGGAAAAAAAATGGAAAATAAACTCATGAACACGTAATAGCGTTAAAAAAATTGTTTTTTTGTTTTGTTTTTTTTTAAATAGAAATAAAAATATATAAGCATATTAAAATTGTTTTTTTTAAAAAAAAATAATATAAAATGTCGAGAAGTGCCTTACGTGCAATAGTCGTTTAGATGTTCTGGAAATCTCACCCTTCTTCCAGAACGCGTCGTTTTAAGTTTATTTTCGGATACTGTCGAAGTATCATCGTGTGTGTTGGTTGTCGGATGAGGTATTATAAGTGTCGGAGTCGTGTCGTTCGATTGTACCGAAGGAAAATCCACGTAGATAGGATTTCCTTCTAAATACGCTGCTTTTAAGCGATCGATACTGATGCTATCGTTGGTTCCGTTCTTATCGACTATATAGTACTTAGATTCACGTTGAAGAACTTTGAAGGGTCCTTCGTATGCTGATTCGAAGGGTCGTCGATGCGAGTCTCGACGAACGAAAACGTGTGTACTAAGTTGAGACCTCGAAAAACGTCGTCTATGAATATTTGGAATGTTTGAGCAGCATTCCTTAGACCGAAAGGCATTCGCAAAAATTCATAGAGTCCAAAGGAGTAATGATGGTGGTTTTCGGTATGTCGTCTGTAGCCATGGGGATTTGGTTATACGCTTTAACCAAGTCGATTTTCGAAAAGACAGTTGTACCTTTCAAGGTAGCTGTCAAATCGTGAATGTGAGGCAACGGGTAACGATCGGGAATGGTTTTCGCGTTCAATCGCCGATAGTCACCAGTTGGACGCCAATCGTTGCTGTCCTTTTTAGGGACCATGTGCAACGGAGATGCATATGGGCTACTTGACGGTCGTATGATTCCTAAGTCCATCATGTGATCGAATTCGTTTTTCGCTAACCTTAGCTTTTCAGGAGCTAGTCGTCGTGCTTTCGAGAGTACAGGTGGTCCTGTAGTCGTGATGTGATGTGTAACATTGCTGGTTACACACGGTAGTTTCGGTTGAGTTTGTTGTATCCCAGGGTACTTATCGAGTAGTGGTTGATAGAGTGGGTCTATCATATGTTTAACTGTGACTGGGGATACTCTACAACCAGTAAAAGAAGTTACGCAAACGGACAAATTAGTGTTTCCGTCTATTAGCCTCCGTTTGCGCGTGTCGATGATCAGATTGTGGTGTTGTAGAAGGTCCATACCAATGATTGGCATAGAAACATCTGCAATAACGAAAATCCAGTGGATGGGTTTGCGTAAACCCACGTTAAGGTAAACGTACCTTTTGCCATAAGTAGCGATCGGTTTTCCGTTTGCCGCCTGTAAGTTAAAAGCCGATTCCTGAAGCCGGTCGTTAGAATTCGCTGGAAGAACGCTAACTTCTGCGCCAGTGTCGACGAGGTAGCGAACTCTCGTTGTCACATCTGTGACGAATAACAGACGGCTATGTTCGCCGGCTACGGTTGCCGTTAACGCGTGCCGGCTTGGAAGTTTCCCGAAATGCTTTTCGAATCAGTCGGTTTCGTGTTGGGAAAATTGCAGGGTTTTCTGCAATTTCTGGAAAACTTTCCATACTGGTTATGATACCAGCACCAGTCGGGGTTATCTGTCTCTCGTGGTCTAGAGACAGATCGCTTACGAGAAATGCTTCTACGTGGTGTGCGCGATCTCTCACGGTCGGTACGAAGACTAAGATAACGCGTGAGTGTGTGACATAAGTCGTTTATATCATTCTGAGTCGTTTGAGGTTTTTCTTTGACTGAAAATACCTCGGTTGTAGGTTTCGTAATTTCTAAAATGCGGTCGGCAGATGCAGCTAGTTCGTCTAAGGCGTTGTTCTGGAACGAGACCAGAACTGCTTGCACCTGTTGGGGAAGTTTTGACAAGAAGAGTTGTTTGAATAGGCCTTCGTCGAAAGTTCTTGGGCCTATTACCTCTCTCATCCGTTGCAACATGTCTGTCGCAGAACCGTGTTGCAGGTCGATATTGTTGAAGAGTTGATCTAACCTTTGTCGATCGGTTAGGTCTCCTCGTTTAAGAATCGAGCGTTTTAAGATTTCGTAAGGATCGGAAACATCACTAGTAAACATACTAGGTGTTACGTACCTGTTGAATTCGCGCGGTAGTGCCTTGACTACTGCGAGGAATTGTGCACGTGTGTCGATCACGCCGTGCTCGGAGAAGTCGGCTTCTGCGTAGCAAAACCAGGCTTCGATGTTGTCGGGCCAGAAAGGCATCAGTTGAAACGAAGGCGGGGACAAAGTCTTAAGCTTGCGTACTTTAGGTGTCTGTTCAGTCATGATGAAGTATGAAGTACGATAATGAACAAGGGGAAAATATATATATCCAGGAAAAAACACGAAAAAAATCACAATGTTTAAAAAAGTTAAAAAAAAATAAGGCGATGATATATAAAAATCCCAAAAAGGAACAGACTCACAGTTGCAATTAGGTGTACCAGATCACGTCGGTTTCACCAATGATGATGTCACAGGTATTCAGTGTTTGACAACGCTTCTACCAGTAACACCTTCTAATATATTTCGTTCCCGCCCAGAGAAATCAAAAGACAGAGTCGAGGAGATCGGAAGAGTATATTTGGCGATGACCAATATATCGGAATTCTCTGATCTAATCTGGCTAGCGATTGCGGTTGATGTTGAGCACGGCGTTACCACACGTGATCTGGTGCGGATGCCTGACCGAGCGCCTTCAGCTAGGTGAGTCCACTAAAACATATGGTCAGCATCCAATGTCGAAAACTTAGTGCTATTTATTTTGGGGATTTATTTACCGCTACAGGTACACCAACTTGCAAACTGTGAGTCTGTTCTTTTTTGGAATTTCATATATCATTGCTTTGTTTTAACTTTTATATATTATGATATTTCTTTTTTCGTGTTTTTGGATATTTTTGCTTCCTCCTCCATTATTGTACTTCATATTTAGTCATGACGGAACAAACACCTAAGGTATTTAAGTTAGAGACTGTGACTCCACCTTCATTTTAACTAATACCCTTTTGGCCAGAAAACATCGAAGACTGGTTCTGCTACGCAGCAGCTGACTTCTACGAGCACGGTGTGAACGACGCACGTGCACAATTCCTTGCAGTAGCCAAGGCACTACCGCGCGAATTTAACAGGTACGTCACACCTAGTATGTTTACTAGTGATGTCCCGGAACCTTACGAAACTCCTAAACAATCTATTCCTAAATGCGGAGACCTAACCGATCGACAAAGGTTAGACCAACTCCTTAATAATATCGATCTGCAACACGGTTCAGCGACAGACATGTTGCAGAGAATGAGAGAGGTGATTGGCCAAAGAACTTCCGATGATGGCCTATTCAGACAACTTTTCTTGTCTAAACTTCCTCAACAAGTGCAAGCTGTGCTGGTCTCGTTTCAAAACAACGCCATAGACGAGCTAGCTGCATCTGCTGACCGCATTTTAGAGATCACCAAATCTTCTAACTCCGAGGTTTTTTCAGTCAAAGAAAAACCTCAAGGAATAAGTGCCTTAATTGTGGAGAATACTTTTCGTGCGGTGTTGTCCAGATTCATGGATTTCGCATTTCCACAAAGTTGATCGGTAAGAGGTTTCATGAGTAACGCGCATTTAGTTTGAATCGTCTATAGAAACATACAAGGCCGTTAAACGTTCATAACTGCTTGATCGTGGTCGGTTCTGGGTAATCCAGAATGGCCGCCACTTTGGTTCAAAGGGGTCAAATTCCTTGAGCATCTATAGTGTGTCCTAGGAAGTCTATTGAGTCAGTTCCGATTTGGCATTTCTGGACGGTTACAGTAATGCCATGTTTTTGTAGTCGTTCGAAAACAAGATCCAGATGCTTGAGATGCGATTCTCTGTCCGGACTTGTTATTAGGCAGTCGTCAACATACGCATGTACGAAGTGGAGACCTCGAAAAACGTCGTCTATGAATCTTTAAATGTTTGAGCAGCGTTTCTTAGACCGAAGGCATTCGCAAAAATTCATAGAGTCCAAAGGGAGTAATGATGGTGGTTTTCGGTATGTCGTCTGTAGCCATGGGGATTTGGTTATACGCTTTAACCAAGTCGATTTTCGAAAAGACAGTTGTACCTTTCAAAGTAGCTGTCAAATCGTGAATGTGGGGCAACGAGTAACGATCGAGAATGGTTTTCGCATTCAATCGCCGATAGTCACCAGTCGGACGCCAATCGCTGCTGTCCTTTATAGGGACCATGTGCAACGGAGATGCATATGGGCTATTTGACGGTCGTACGATCCGTAAGTCTATCATGTATTCGAACTCATTTTTCGCCAACCTTAGCTTTTCGGGGGCTAGTCGTCGTGCTTTCGAGAGTACAGGTGGTCCTGTAGTCATGATGTGATGTGTAATGTTGCTAGTTACACACGGCAATTTCGGTTGCGGACTGGTATATCCCAGAATACTTATCGATTAATGGTTGATAGAATGAGTCTATCGTGTGCCTAAGTGTGACAGAAGATAATTTGCAACCGGAGAAAGAAGTTACGCAAACAGGCAAATTGGTGTGTCCGTCTACTAGCCTCTGTTTGTGCGTATTTATGGTTCGATTTTGATGTTGTGGGAGGTTTGTACCAATGATTGGCATAGAAACATCTGCAAAAACAAAAATCTAGTGAATGGGTTTGAGTAAACCCACGTTAAGATAAACGTACCTTTTACCATAAGTAGCGATAGGCTTTCTGTTTGCCGCCTGTAAGTTTAAAACAGATTCGCGAGGCCGGTCGTTAGAATTCGCTGGAAGAACGCTAACTTCTGCGCCAGTATCGACGAGATAGCGAACTTTCGTTATCACACTTGTGACGTATAACAGACGGCTATGTCTGCCGGCTTGGAAGTTTCCCGAAACATTTTTCGTGTCGGTCGGTTTGGAGTTCGGAAAATTGCAGGGTCTTCTGTGATTTTTTGAAGATTTTCCGTACTGGTTATGATGCCAGCACCAGTCGGGGTTACCGGTCTCTCGTGGTCTAGAGACAGATCGCCTACGTGAAGTGCGTGACCGTTTACGGCCATTACGAAATCGAAGGTAACGTGTCAGCGAATGACATAGTTCCGTAATGTCATTCTGGGTCGTTTGAGGTTTTTCTTTGACTGAAAAAACCTCGGAGTTAGAAGATTTGGTGATCTCTAAAATGCGGTCAGCAGATGCAGCTAGCTCGTCTATGGCGTTGTTTTGAAACGAGACCAGCACAGCTTGCACTTGTTGAGGAAGTTTAGACAAGAAAAGTTGTCTGAATAGGCCATCATCGGAAGTTCTTTGGCCAATCACCTCTCTCATTCTCTGCAACATGTCTGTCGCTGAACCGTGTTGCAGATCGATATTATTAAGGAGTTGGTCTAACCTTTGTCGATCGGTTAGGTCTCCGCATTTAGGAATAGATTGTTTAGGAGTTTCGTAAGGTTCCGGGACATCACTAGTAAACATACTAGGTGTGACGTACCTGTTAAATTCGCGCGGTAGTGCCTTGGCTACTGCAAGGAATTGTGCACGTGCGTCGTTCACACCGTGCTCGTAGAAGTCAGCTGCTGCGTAGCAGAACCAGTCTTCGATGTTTTCTGGCCAAAAGGGTATTAGTTAAAATGAAGGTGGAGTCACAGTCTCTAACTTAAATACCTTAGGTGTTTGTTCCGTCATGACTAAATATGAAGTACAATAATGGAGGAGGAAGCAAAAATATCCAAAAACACGAAAAAAGAAATATCATAATATATAAAAGTTAAAACAAAGCAATGATATATGAAATTCCAAAAAAGAACAGACTCACAGTTTGCAAGTTGGTGTACCAGATCATATCGGCTCACCAATGAAGATGCCACAGGTATTTGGAGTTTTACAACGCTTTAACCAGTAACACCTTCTAATATGAATCGTGCCCACCAAGTGAAATCAAACGACAGAAGCGAGGAGGTTTGAAATATAATTGATAGTGTATAAAAAGGTTTTGATCCTGTTCACTTTCGACTCTAGATTTCAGTAGGTGGGCACGATTCATGGTAGTTGTTACTGGATGACGCGTTGTCAAACTTCTAATTCTGTGACGATGTTCAACTATATCGCGTAAGACTACTCAGACTAGAATATCTGGTGACCCAATTTTGTTTATTTCCCAGTCGTAATCCGCATTCCGGTTTTGAAGTTATCCGGTGACTTTGAAGACGTTTTAGCTCTGTCTATAAGTTTACTTGAATTTATCTTGTATGACCTACGAATGATATCCGGCTCCATTTCTCTGTAGAATGCTTATCTCGTGTTTGAGGGTATCTTTATCATGTTTAAACTCGTCTTCTTAGTCCTTGTTTGAGGATTTCGACTCGCAGAAAGTTGTGTTACTTATATACTGTTTTGGTCCATGTACACAACTTTTCATTCCTAAAGCGTTGTTTATACTTTTCCTAAAGTAATAACGTCAACTCCCTAACAAGCTTAACCGAAATCACAATTTTCTGAAATTTGGTTTATCATTACACTACATGGTAGGTCAATAACGTCTACTGTTAATTTTTTGTACGGCAACATATGCTCTTCAATCAGCATAAGTTTCACCAACTGCTGGACTCGCAAACAGTAGTGTTAACTAGTATATTCCTCTTTCATCACATTAATTGATGAAGTATCTAGTGATGTGATAATTTTTAATCATTATAACTATTCTTTAGGATAAAGCACCAAAGACTTGATTGGACTGTGGGTTTGATAAAGTTACAGCGAATGACGTATTAGGCTCTTCGTATCAGACTTTCCCTAGGAACTGTGATCGTTCTTGAAAATCAAAAGTGAAGAACGACGAATCTCTCTGATCTTTAGTACCCTGTCAGGAAGTGTAGACGTATCAATATCAACTATATAATTATTTAGAGTTACAAAATATTGTCGTATTACGGAATCAAGTTCCATGTGTATTTCTTATTTGCTTGATTGGTATTCAGACATTCATAAACTTTCTCAGCGACTCTATATCTCATTTTGAAGTGACATAGCTCATCAAACTGATGTTTTGATTTCATAACAAAACTAATTTCTGTCTTAAATATCCATAGGTTTCTTTGCATTTACCCATCATCTAATTAAACTGTAAAAAGGAATGGATACTAAGGAATTGGAGAATTTTTTTAGCGATCCTATGGTTTCAGCTCATATTGAATCATTCATGGATGCTCATTGTTCTAGTAATTATAAAACTTGATCAAATACGCTTTTAACATTATAATAATAACAGTATTCACATGTGAAAAAGAAATTCATTCTGAACATTATGCAACACACAAAGAATTTTCAGAAATGGTAAGTAGAAATAGACAATATTCTTTATTTCACAATCCTTTCTTAGATAGATTTTCATTTAATGAACTAGTTATGGATACATAGTTATTGACTAACACTACTTTTTGTCTCTTTCAAATGTATGTTATGGTTGGATATACATCACAAGAGGCTAGATAAACCACAACTGGCTATAGGAAATATGAGATCTGGTTCAAAGCTGACTCAGGCCAAGTTACCACACTATCGGCAATACGAAAGTGGATAGCAGTGTTGTTGAATTAGAGATTTCATGTAGAGGAAATAATTTTAAAAGATAATCAGTTTGCGACATTAGAAGTATGAGGGTTTCGAAACCGACCTTGTGAACTATGAAAAATGAATACATCTGCTCTACTGCAGCTGATCTCGAACTATTTCACCAGTCTTCAACTATTGATCACGATTATGGCACTGGCCGCAATGTAGTAGCTTGTACCTAGCAAAATGACTCAGACCAACAATCAATGATTTAATAACCTGTTCGGTGGTTTGGTTGCTTCTGACTTTTCTCCAAACACGGTGCGTTTAGAATTATTCGCTTGACTGATCTATCATTCGTGACAAATACTTTAAAAACCTCTATGGTCGTATAGCAATAACCTTCAGATTTCATCCATTTTCAAAAGAGGCAATAAAAAGCGAACTGTTTGAAAATATACCTATCCTTTGATAGGTAAACGAATGCTTATTCGACGTCACAGGCACATCAGATTTGCAAATCAAAAACGTTTTTTGTATTTGTGCTTAGATTTTCCGAACTACTAACTCATCAGGTCCTATAGTACGTCCAAAATAAATAAATTAATCTGTGTATTCAACTGCTTTGGTTCTTAGCGTTAGAACAGGTTAAGAGGTAAATCACACATTCATTTTCACCTCTCGTTTGCAGAAGAAATTCGGAAAAAATCGAGATTGTTTCTATCAGTGGAATATTTTTTTTACTAATATAATTCTAGTCTGGTCTTGCACAAGTCGAAAGCAGTTTTTAGAATTTCATTTTTTATAATCGCCATCTGCTTAGTACTGACCAGTGTTGATATGAACTTCCTGGCGTCCTAATAGGAATCTGTAGCATATTGAGTTCATTAATTTCAAAATAAAAGTTATTTACCTTTCATAATTATGTTTGAAAAATTACACCATTCTCCTAGTCGTTTTATTTCTGGCATATGTAAATAAAAACCTTAGAAGTAAAAACTTGACCTAATGGATACATGAATTTCCTTTAGTTATATTTCCTTATAAAAATGTTTTGAAAACAAAAACCATTGTGAAACAAATTGTTTCTTCATCGCAAATCTGATTATTTGTTAATAAACACAAGTTAACTTCCGTATCTATGAATGTATAAGTAGTAATTTTTGTGGCTACTATAAATAATAAAGCATTGTTGTTGCCGAGGTTACGTAATAATCTAGGGTAGTAGAAGTCTTGTGTGTATTTAGCAGTATATGTACTAAGTTTTGCATTGAAATTGCATAACAGTTGTAATATTTGGCTTCGGGCCACTCACTCTAGATGTGGGGTCTAGCAAATCTACCTGGTTGCCGTAACCAAGCTAGATGGATTGAGATTCAAACCTGCAACGTAGCAGCTGAAATCTGTACGCTTTAACAAATAAGCTACCAGTTCACAGTTGAGCTATACCATTATATCAATATTAGATATCATTTTGTTTAAATCTTTCCTTATTCTTTAGATGAAAAGTCTATTAAATAGCTCATCAATTGATTACAATCAGATTCAGGAAATGTATACAACTTATAAAATAACTGAAGATGATCCTTCTTTTAGTTCAATCTCTTATATAATTGCATTATGGAATTTTGAATTATTTTATCAATTAATGACTTTGGTAAATGTTGATTTACAATTAGAGGCATTACATTATATTCAACAGAAGTATGGTAATCAATTCATGTATGTATACATTTTAAATAATTTCTTTTATCTGAAGATAATATATATCATGATCTTTCTTATTATCATTGCTGCTAAATTTATTTAGATTCATTTAAGATAATTAGTCCCTTTGATAAATTTCCATAATGCAAGACAAGGAAGACTAAGTTTATCAGAATTATGTGGTGATATGATTGCGTAATACATTTCCAAATCAATCTGATCACACATTATGTACTTGTTAAGAACATTTATATATGAAAATTAAAAGGTCAACTAGACAGATTAAAGGTAAGTCATAACAAAGAACACATACCAAATAGGCTGTATAAACAATTGAATTCCGACGGTCAAATAAGATCACAGTATAGGCAGACATCATCATCCATTGTGAAACATTTGATTGAGACTGGTCATAAGGTTGATATCAATTCAGCATTTATAGTATTATACAAAAGCCTTCAAGGACATAGGGAGGACTAATCGAACACTGCAATCAAGGTTTAATGAACATATGCCTAGTTGGCTTCAAAATCAATGTATGTCAAATGATCCGATCAATGTGTGAGTTAGAAAACCAGGTTCATCGATAGCGGAACATATAATTGAAACGGGGCACAAAAATGACATTAGCACAGCTTTTAGGACGTTGTATAGAAATTGTCAAGGACGAATTCTTAAGTTTATTGAAGCCTTGACTATTCGTAAATTTATGCCTCCCTTATGTGTACAAAAACAATTTGTCGTAACCTTGAATCTACCTTGTTAATCCTTAAGTCATTTTATGGCCTGGGATAACGCGACAATTTCTTATTCTTTCTCCCCCCTTTTGTTATTTGACTTGAACTTTTATTTAATTAGAACAACACATATAAGCGAACAATTGTTTTCAATTAGATCGTCATCAGGCTTTACTCTAATATACATGAATATTTATACGAAAATGTTAAACCAATCAAGGCAATATGGGTCAATAATCACAATGAAATAGAATAAGTCACTACACATAAAATAGGTAAAAGTACAATTTTATAGCAGTAGGAAGACAGGTGAACTGATAATAGAAACCAAAGTAATCACCAGGACATTCTACGCAGCCAATCTTGCGTTGACCTTCTCTTGTTGACCAGCGATGTCTACTCAAACGAAGGATAAGTTACCTGAGTTGGCCTCTTCTATGTGCATTTACAAATTCAGCTGCTCCTGTGGAGATAGCTATATAGGGCGTACTACCAGGCAACTTAACCAACGAATGAGTGAACATCTACCAACTTGGTACATAAAGGGCCAGATAAAATCTATTCGCAGTTCTATATTGGCACATCTCATTGATAGCGGTCATGCTGTAGATAAATCGAAATCATTTCGAGTTATCTATCGTATACCTCCATCATTTCCTGACGGAGTTCGTTCCCGCCTCCTACATATAGCTGAAGCTATTGGAATTCGTACATATAACCCCAATTTATGTGTACAGAAGAAATACGTGACTCCCCTATCCCTTCCATGGCCAGTTATAACTTAACTATTATTATTATCATTATTCATTTTATTGTATTTGTGTTATTGTTAACCTTATTTCCACATCCATTATTTGTTTGTCATTATCCGCCTCTTTGTATTCTTCACTATCTAATTATTTACACACATCTTATTACGTAATGATTTTTAAGGTTTTGTGATTACTATTCCTAGTCTATTTACCCATGTTTATTTGACCTTCTATTTTCAACGTTTAACTATTGATAAGAGTCTTGTTATTGTATTTTGATTATTCTCACTATTATCAGTTCACCTGTCTTCCTACTGCTATAAAATTGTACTTTTACCTATTTTATGTGTAGAGAGTAATTCTATTTCATAGTGATTATTGACCCATATTGCCTTGATTGGTTTAACATTTTCGTATAAATATTCATGTATATTAGAGTAAAGCCTGATGACGATCTAATTGAAAACAATTGTTCGCTTATATGTGTTATTCTAATTTTCACAATGGGAATCTTTAATATTTTATTTAATTGACCTTTATTAATTTTCATATAAAAATGCCTTGACAAGTATATGTGTGACCAGATTGTTCGAAATGTATTACGCAAACATATGATCACATAATTCTGATAAACTTCGATTCATTTACTATTCGATCCTGCTAATTTCATCTTTTCACACTAATTTGGTATGTCGACTTGAACCAACGCATATTTGTACAAGAATTTACGTTGATAATAGATGGGAGACGGATAACAATTGGAGATAGTAACTCACTGAAGACAATGGTGGGTGTGTCGCTCGATTTCGTGGATTAGTTGTAGTTAGACGTTAACACCGTTGGATGCCGGCTCAGTGGTCTAGTGGTCAAGTGATCGCGTGTGAAATCAGTAGGTCCTGGGTTCGAATCTCGCAGGGGGCGAGGTCGTGAATGCACACTGCTGAGGAGTCCCACAATAGGACGAAACGGCCGTCCAGTGCTTCCAGGTTTCCCATCGTGGTCTAACTTCAAATGACTCATGATCTTAACCATTGAAAGAGCCATTTATATTTAGAGAGCTCTGAAAAAAATCTCATATGAAATTAACAATCCTTATCATTTCTATAGCATAGTATGTCACGTGAAACTAAATCCATGAGTTTTAGATACTTTGTCAAGATTTTTATACTTGACTATGAACCATACTACTAGTCTAGGTCAGGCAATACTATATACGGTATAATAGTTGCCTAATTCTGATTCTCATCTGTTCTTTATTTTGTTCTAATCGATAATGAACACTTTTCATGTTTAACATATCTGTAAAAAAAACGAACCTATCTAAGCTATCTTGCCGTTTTGAATAAATGATCGTTTTATAGTAGTGATCATCAATAATTCCGTTGTTACGAGTAATTGCAGAAACTATATGCACACTTATTACAATTCATATTCAGTTTTTATTCAATAATTATAATTGCCCATTATTGATTAATAAATTCTATCGGTTCTTATTTTTAAAACTAACTTTCTTTATAGACAAACGTATTCAAACAACAATAATCATGATTCCTTGGTTAATAATTCTACTGAAATAAATAAAAATGAACTAACTGATATGTTGTTAGAAAAATCTCAACAGAAAAATGGAATGGTGAAGGTAATTTGACCGAAATCTCTCTCTCTCTCTGTGTGTGTGTGTGTGTGTGTGTGTGTGTGTGTGTGTAGGAGATCAATACCAAGAGTTAAATCTTGATATTTACAAGTAAACTAAACATTGGGTAGAATGTTAGTTATAAAATAATGATGTATTCGTGATAACTTAGAAATTTGTATTTCTAACATTTCGTGACTTAGTGTAGGCCAATTCTTCAGAGAATAAATATAAATAACCACATTAAATTAATATTAGTTTAAATAGAATATACTGCTTGTTCTTCTTTATTGTTTGAACTAGTATTAATTTAATCAGGTTGTTTGTTTTTCTTCTCTGAAGAGGTGACTTACAATAAGTCACGAAACATCAATAATTCAAATTTCTATTCATTAATTGATCACAAATACATCATTATTTTATTATTGTACGTTTTGTTTGTATTGTTCTTCTTATTCTTTTCTTTAAATCAACTTTCTAGACAATCAAAGAAACAATTCAAAGTGAACTTTGTAAAAATCAACATAATCAGAACGATGGACAATTATTAATAGAGGCAAGCTTTTAATTATGTGCAAATTCTGTTTTCCTCTCATATATATATATATATATACCGTTTTTCGAACATTTACGCATTTTTGACTCTCCTGGCCTTTAGGAATCTATTTATCGAAAGATTAAACAGTTTTACAGTAAGTAATAATATGCTCAAATTAAGAAACTCACTTTTAAGATGATAAATCCAACAACATTGGTTGATTTTCAACACAGACAATTTTAATAGTGACCACGTCAGTATGGCTGAACAAATAAAAATTGTGCCAATAAAATAGAGGGAAGAAAATTGTATGATAATAATCTTTTTACGAAGTTGCGCCACTGTACACCATTGTCTTCAGTGAGCTGATATCTCACAACAGATGCGCACTGCTGAGGAGTCCCATACTAGGACGAAACGGCCGTCCAGTGCTTCCAGGTTTTCCATGGTGATCTAGTTTCAATTGACTCATGATTTCAACCTGTGAAATTTCTAAAAATCTCCACAAAACCCATTCTGATAATAATCTTTTTACTCAAGAGTAAGATAATAGCAATTAACGAATTTCACAGGTAGTCATTATTATAGTTTGCGGTACTTGTAGGATGGGAATCTCACGGATCCAGAATCATCAAAGTATTATTCAAAACAAAGAAGGGGGATCACAATGAATATTATTCAATGTTATGCACCCATCAGTGATAGCAAGGACGACGAGAAAGATCAATTCTATGAGAGGCTGCAACCAATCATAGAGAAATGCCCTCACCATTCTAATGGGAGATCTAAATGCCAAAGTCGGAATAGACAACACCGGATATGAAGATACTATGGGACGACATGGACTGGGACAAAGAAACGAAAATGGAGAAAGATTTGCAAATCTATGTGCATTCAACAAATTTTGTCCCAAAATACTGACGATAATTCCACTAACTCGACTATGTTCAGTTGCTCACGAAGAATGTCTACCACTTCCTCTATTTACTTTTAGAATTTCGGAAGAACACCTAAGATACCTTATTTTATCCCGTATTATTATTCAGATCTGGGAAACTCATGTGATTATTTACTGTGAATATAGGGCTACAACGCACCATAAATAAATAATCTCAATGTGTGCCCAGCTAGAACATTTGTGGTACAAAACTGGAGTAACAGCTGTTGGTTTGTTCTCTGCCATAATAGGTTATTGCTGATGGTATCCGTCCAACGGACATTGTATTTCTTGCGTAGACAATTGTTTATAAATACATGTATTTTTATGATGACGGTTGCAGTAGTTCTCCACATTTTGACTCCGTACAATAGAACTGTCTTGACGTTCATACTAAAGATTGTGACTTTGATGTTGACTGACAGTTGTTTTGAGCTGTAGGAATGCTGCCATCACTTTGTCAATCCTTTTCATCACATCTGCATCAGATCCTCTCTTTATCAATGATTCTACCCAGATACTTATATGTCTCCACCTCTTTCAGAGCTTCTCAATCAAGCGTTTGTGTGTGTGAAATAGGAGAGCTAGGTCATCTACGAAGTCCAGATCGTTTAGCTGCATCGAACATGTTCACCGTATTCCTTGCTTTTTTTGAGATGTAGAGATCTTCATAATCCAGTCGACCACCAGAGGATAGAGAGAAAACGAGAGTAAGAAGCCTTGTCTCATACCGGTCTTCACTTGGAACTCGTCTCTCATCTGTTTCTCTTGCACGACTTCACAGTGTATTCCGTATGATATTGGCAATCTTCTCAGATACAAAATAGCGTGGAAGAAGGTTACATGAGGTTCCTCTGTCCATGATATCAAGGAATGTATATACTGAATCTTCAGAGAATGAAATTTAAAGTTTTACAATTTTAATAAATCTGATCTTGTCAATTATATCTTGGCATGTTTGCATTCAGATCAGAGCTAATATTTTACATTTTGATGGCATCATTTAATAACTGTTCACTAACTAACTTTTATTGCCCATTTTGTCCAATATATAATGTTCTGTGTATTTATTTCAGAGTGATTCTAATACTTTTCGTGATATACCTACAAAAAATCTCACTAACTCTACAATTCCTCATGAAATAAAACTAACTCCTTCTGATACTGTGACACCATCATCATCAGCATCATGGAATCACATATTGAATTTCAATAACTCTGAAACCATTCATCAGCAAAAATATGACAATACTTTAAGACCAACTAAAGATGAATTAGTTGAAAAGCAGGCATTTCTAAGAAAACAACGTGATCTACTGATCGAAATGCGTCAGAAAAAGCGTGAAAAGCTATTTTCTGATCATGTACAAACTTTAACAGATAACAGTTTTGTATATACTAATAATGTAAGTTGATTGTAATAATTTACCAAACAAATTAATTGAAAATTTCATCTTTAATCTATACAGTAGATACATGAATTATACTACAAAGGCTTTTGTGAAATACTCTCCGCAAATTCATTTAATGCTGATAACTGTTTAAGAATATTGTGGATAATAACGTTTATGTGGTCACTATCATAACTAAGGACTACTATCAACTTCCTAGGTTGATGAAATTACTGAATTTTAACAATTTAGCGTTTCTATTTTTTTGATCATCGTTTTACTGTTCATCTAATGTTTGATGGTAAGACTATAATTTATGGACGACCTTTGAGTGACGGTAGACTGACCTTAAGACTGTCCATCTAATAACTAGGACCAGATGAAAGTTATAAACCTGCATAAGGAATTCGAATTTTGATTTACAGTTGATGGTTAGGGTTAAGAATTAGATAAACGGTTTTCATCACGATATGTCAAAACGGTATTTAACCAAATGAGTTGACGAATTTCGCGCCAAAATCCGAGACCTGTTTTCTTATATCTGACTGGTTCGTCCATAAATTATAGTCTCGCCTTTCTGATCAGTTGAAATTAAGGTAATTATAATTCTGATAAGACGTAAAAATAAGAAGGTATCTAAAGAAGATAAGGTTAATTTGCTTTATACTTTGTGGAATACTTTTTTCAACTATCGGTCGTGGATTTATTGATTAGATGAATGATATAAATTCAGTAGTTTTTCGTTTCATTTCAGAATTTCATTTGTATTTATATCAAAATGACATTTAAACTCCGTTAGGAAAAATTGGTATATAACCATCCTACTGAGATACTCTGGTCAGCGATAGATAATAAACTAATTACCCTTATTCCTTGAGTTATTAGCTTCTTCTCTTCCGTTTATAAAACCGTTCCACTGAAATAGAAGGGCTGGATCTTGGAATTATTCTCTCGGAAGTTTTTGTTATTATTGATAATTTTTTTTCTTATTGTACGTGGCTTCTCGGTTTGAAGTGAATACATCATCATTGAAGTTGTAGAATCAGTGCATATTTAATTACCGTATGATTCTTTTTAATTAATAAATACTTTCTCTGGTGATTATCACATTGCGACTATTATTTAGCATGGGATCCTATTCCAATAGCGATGATTGAACAGAAAGGGGAGCGGGCTAATAAGAGTTAATATACTTCCAGTGCTTAAAAGGACAACTAAAGAAAACTTTCACACTTGAAAGTGTTATGTGTCCCTGTCTCGACTAGTAAATTATAAGCAGCGTTCACTCGCGAACCTCCATTTAGTAAGATCACTAGGTTTCGCGGTAAAAGCTTCAAATCTAAGTAATTAAATGGTGATTTATGGTTGCTTCAAGGTTCCATGCTAGCCGTTAAACCTGAGTTCAATCCAATATGACATTCCGGATAATTTCTTTTCAGAAGTTACAAACTAATTGCCACTCAACTAAAGACAAAACAAGTCACTATCAAATTATGCGAAACTTCAACAAAACCCACTTTAACTTAATTAGTTCTGATTTTATCCTACCATTTATTTTAGAGAGACCGTAATTCAATCGATAAGGAAGAACATGATAAAGTTATGGAGAAACGTCGTAAGTTATATGAAAAACTAAAGATTGAAGTGATTAACAAAAGTGGTTTTGATCAGACGGAAAAATAAATTGGTCTAATTTCCTTGATTTTATGGTAATCGATCGAATATTGGATGGATGTACATATACATTTTTGAACAATAAATGTATAGCTATAAAACAGTGAATGTGAATATCAGAAGTTTCAATTGGATCTTGGGAAGGAATCTAGATTGTGAGGAAATTTCCACCGAAGAAGATTGAAATGGTTTATGTGGATCCCAGTTTGTTTGCGTTTTCACGCACCATTCTCTTATAAATGCACGATATGTAGAAACACTGATTCCTATCATTTCAATTGCATCATTGTTGTTTGAAATCCTAATGTAATGTTTACATATGACACCTCACTGTATAATTTTACCAAAACTAAAATATTTGATTATTCTCTAAGAAATGTATGTATCATCAAAATAATATGTCAAGGAGTTTACAATAATAAATATCGTTACAGCAGTAGAACTATTGGTATTTTTTCTTAAAGACAAAAACCATTGCATCAAATCAGAAATTGCAAACTCTTGGATGATTGGAAGAGAAATATTTGGCTGATTTACCATGTAGAGTCCAGGTCGATTGAACAACTAAATAAGGATTTATTGATAGTAATTGTAACTATCGGAATGAAACCAGTGTCAAACCCGGAAATATAAATAACCTGGACTCAGATATGGGTAAGTGGAATATGCCGGAAATCAGTTACAGTAATATTCACGACAACAGTTTACGGTAAACTAAATACTTTAAGGTTCTCCAGCAACACTTACTGAAATCTTGGCTGTGTGGTTCTGGGTACCAAACTAGTATTGTTTGCGAGCGAGAGCCGTGTAGTCCCCAGTTATCTTCATTTACATTTGGGACCACGTAGTGCAGTGAGCCTTATTCGTCCTCGGGAATGGGGGTATTGGCAGATTTCGTATGTAGTGGGAGACAATGTTGATCATTTTGATTTTGTTATGAGCTTGTCTCATGGGTCTTGAAAAGTCAGATAAGACTTCAGTTTCATTTGTTGGGGATTTAATTTGATCGAGTCCAGAAATTCGACTGGCATGCCTGTACATTTTACAATTACAGACATGGTTCATAACGAATTTAACAGCTTGAAATGTGACTTGTGAAATCTATCGTGACAGTTTGGTTGATGGTCAAACCGGCTACGAAGTAGTTCTGGGGATCGCGCTATTTTGCTCAGCTCTTTTCAGTAGATTAGTTGGTAAAGCTACAATAACCGAACTTAGTACGTCGAACTGAACTTTGGGAATTGGCTAGTCTTCCTAAAGTATCTGACCCTAAAAGGCTGATGAAATGTGAAAATAAACTGAATGTTATGCGCGGTCAGTTTTCGAGTCTGATATAACCACTCTGATATCTCACCAGATTGAAAATTTGGCCACTTCGAGTGGAGTGAACTGCATCTTTCCACGCTGGCAAACAATAATGACGACTCTGACAACCCTAGTCATATCAAGGTTGAACTACTGTGTGGTAGATCTAGCTGTCTCGATAAAATACCCTTTCATAGTTGCTTCAAATGCAACACATACATATTTATTCACTTATAAATACAGGGCGTGCTGATATGCTACTGGAACCACGAGAAGTTGCTAGGACAGTAAAAGGTCATGTTGGAATTTCTGTCTTTCGTGTTTGTTTTGTTATCGCCGCTTATTCCTCACACTTGAAAAACGAGGAACAACAGTGTATCCCACGTCATGAAGCTGTATTCGAATTGGGATTACCAATTGTAGCGTGGCGTCGAGTTGAGATTAACTATGAACACCGCTACCAAGAAACACGTGCCAAGCGAATCAGAAGGCGTAAGAAGCTCGTTCCAAATGACTCCATAAAATCCCCGAGAAGCCGAATATCAGAAGGCAATTAATGGACCAAGTCGAGGTTTATTAGCTGGCGATCTCGTGGCATCGAAAGGATACCGAGATCGTGCCAGGATACAACCTTGGTTACAGAAGGTAACCGAATTCGCGCGAAGTTACAATCGAAGTGTAAGTAAAAGAAGGGAAGCAGAAAATAGCTGTCATTAGCACAGTTAAACAAAAGCACGTTAAAACAAACACTGGTACAGTTGGTTATAATAATAATTGTTTTTATTAAACCAGTCGTGTTCTCGTGATAAACGTGAGTCACTACAGGAGCCCCCCGCTAGAAAGGGTTTACACTTTCGATAAATAGCGGTTTGAATCGTGGGACTGACCGGCTGACGAGCGATTGTAGGACGGAAGAATTGGCGAACAGGAAAGCGATCGTTGATCGTCGAGTTGCCAACGAAGGTCGTTTTCGGAGAACGGTACCAGGAGCGATGTGCTGTATTTGTTGCTTGAATTGGCATGCTACACCAGAGTGGTTTGTATCCAGAATCTGAAGAGGGCGTTCGTACGGGTCCGGACCATAAACGCTGCAGACGAAGGACGAAACCACGTTGAGCCGATGAACCAGAAGCGACCATAACGACCAAGTTCGAGACCAAGCGTATGCCAAGCATTCGAAACCAATATATCGACTGAGTACGTTGACAAGAGCGTGGGTGGCCAATCCAGCTTTCGCCAAAGTTGACTGAAGTCGACGGAACCAAACGGAGATGGTCGAAGGCGTGGGCTCAGGAAACAAAAAGAAAATCAAAAAAAGAAGAGTGTAGCATACGTGTAGTATAGGAATAATCCTACACCGTATCGGTTGTTGACTGTGCGACTAGTCGCGGAAGCGTACGGGCAACCGTACTCGGCGACTGGAACGTGAGACGGCAGTCTCGTTCGCGTCGCGTGAGCCTGCAATCTCATCCGAAGTCAAGGGCGGCGTGGTCTGCTGATCTGGACGTGAGACTGTCGTCTCGTCCGTAGACGGTGCAGATGACGCGTGCTGTTGACTGGGACGTGAGAATGAGGTCTCAGATGTATCTAGCGTGGGACCTGAAGATGATTTGAGGATCCCGCTAGTAGGTTTGCTAGGTCTAGCATTGAATCTCAGGTTGTCAGATAGGGCACTGTCATCGACGTGTGCTGGTTTGAGACGGTCAATGCTGACGATCTCGACGCGGCCATATCGATCAACCTTGAAGGTCTTTTCGTGACGAGCGATCACGCGAAAAGGGCCTTCGTAAGGTTGTTGCCAAGGTTTGCGTACCGAATCTACTCGTACAAAAACATGTGAACAGGTAGATAACTGTCGAGGGAGAGCGACCTGTCGATGTTGTATTCGAGTTGACACCGGAGGCAGCGTTCGCATAAATGCAGACAGTCGATGGACGTAGTCTGATTTACCGAAATTAGGTCTGCTCCGTGGTGTGAAGAATTCTCCGGGCAGACGCAATGTCGTGCCGTATACAAGTTCAGTGGCGGAACATTGGATATCTGCCTTTAAGCTCGTTCTCACCCCTAAAAGAACGAGCGGTAAGGTTTCGTGCCAGTTGCCGTTTTCGTGTGCTCGTAGAACACTTTTTAGTTGGCAGTGAAACCGTTCAACTTAACCATTTGGTGCTGGGTGGTAGACGGATATGCTTATGCGTATGCATTCCGTACCAAGCAGCCGGGTCAGCGAGGAGAATCGTTGATAGGGTAACATTTCTCGAATAAAGCGTGGAATTCATCATCACGCGAATAAAAAGTGACAAGGGTTCGGTACACATACGTGTGAGTCTATTATATTAATACAATTCTTATCGTTATCCGTCATGTCGCGTATATTATATATTAAAAAATATGAAAATATACGACAGACGTGGATAGATAAATCATAGACTCACCGAATTGGCTTCTTTGGAAGATTTGATCAGAAGTTGAGGCGTGCTCCAAAATACGGGTCAAAAATTGTATTCGAATTGGGATTACCAATTGTAGCGTGGCGTCGAGTTGAGATTAACTATGAACACCGCTACCAAGAAACACGTGCCAAGCGAATCAGAAGGCGTAAGAAGCTCGTTCCAAATGACTCCATAAAATCCCCGAGAAGCCGAATATCAGAAGGCAATTAATGGACCAAGTCGAGGTTTATTAGCTGGCGATCTCGTGGCATCGAAAGGATACCGAGATCGTGCCAGGATACAACCTTGGTTACAGAAGGTAACCGAATTCGCGCGAAGTTACAATCGAAGTGTAAGTAAAAGAAGGGAAGCAGAAAATAGCTGTCATTAGCACAGTTAAACAAAAGCACGTTAAAACAAACACTGGTACAGTTGGTTATAATAATAATTGTTTTTATTAAACCAGTCGTGTTCTCGTGATAAACGTGAGTCACTACAAAGTAAAGACACCAAGAATAGCACCAGAAGATTGTAGTTGAAAGTACACTCAGTATATGTTGATTTTACACTCATTTTCGCTAGTAATTAGAATATATCACACTGGAACACAAAAACTAATACTACTCTGAATAATCATCGTACTAATTTAAAAGTGTAAGCAATGTCGATCATTATTCACAATAAGTAAAATAAAGTAATTTAGGGGTTAACAATAAGTTTAGAATCCTTGCTTCTAGCCACAAGATCGTAAGCAAGTGCAAGACGACGGATCACTGGACTGAAATACTTAAATTGAGTTCTCAATATTATACAGGATCACACTCCCACACAGGTTCCTACTCCAAGAAGGACTAGTAAACAAAAACGAATTGAGAGAATGGGCTGTTCTAAACTTCCGTTAACTCAGCCAACAGAAGAAAAATAACAAAGCAATAATAATTGTATCGTGTGCTTGTTGCTCGGTAAGATCAGGGAATTGGCATTTTAATGTGTTTTCTGTAGTAGTTGAGTTTATAGAATTATGTTCTACTATGATATTAGTACTGCTCTAACTATAGACCTAGTCCTAATATTGTAGACTTGTCATGATATAACTGCCTAATCTATAAGATCTTATGTGGAAGTCACATCATCATCTACACCAACTCACTGTATAGTAACAATTACCAATACATACTGGAGAACAAGCTTAGGCTATAGAAAGAACAATATATTTAATATGAATAAAAAATATAAGGCAACATTCCGCAGGGACCACGCCTGCATGGCCGAGTCATGCCATCCGATCAACTCCAGTCCATTCAACTCCTTGTTCCCACCTTCTTCATCGTTAGGTATTTCTCCGCGTTAAATTTTGAATGTCTATTTTCTGAGTAGCCTCGTGTTCAGCTTTGAGGATTGTGTGGTTATGGTCCAATGCCACTACAAGTTCACTGGTACTGTGATAATTCAGTACTCAAGCAGTACTACGGGTTTACGTTAAGTTACACCTGTCCATGGTTCTTGTATATTTGCCCACAGTTTAAAGGAAATGCTTAATTGAAAATGACCGTATCAATCCCCAACAATGTGCACAATCCATCCAACGCAGACATAATCAAACATGCAACTATGGGAAGAACAATCCGAACTCGTGAACTAATAGTTACTGACTTTTGCTAATACCTCAGTATCCGTTAACAGTAAGAAGCAGCGGTGTGCGTTGG